GATCACCACACTGTTGGGGTCTCCCGAGGGCCGCTGGTCCCAGGGCGGCCGGGAAGTTTATACCCCTGCGGTGGCACGTCGCCCCACCTGGGACAGGCGTCCCCGCCGGCGGAGAAGTTTACTATACGGTGGGGGCGTTGGTTAAGGAATGGTCCCAGGAGGCGCCAGACCCTGGAGGATCCTTTATCCAATGAGGGCGGTGGTGATATCCATGGCCGATCCACGACTGGAGTTCCACTGGCTTCAGACCCTGGATTCCTGATCTAAGGGTTCCTTATCCAATGCCCACACCGCACACCGTTTTTCGCCCGCTGGAGGCAGAGATGCCCACACCGTTACCCTTCCTTGTTTCCGCCTTTTGGGGGGCTTCCCGTGGTGGCCTGGCGGCGTCGTCGCCGCGTCGGGGCTCGCTCCGGAGGCATTCTGGTGAGAACGCGCCCCTGGAGAGGTCCGGTGAGTAGCGGTATAGGTATAGTTGTATAGTTTCGTTCCCGCAGGACTCGGTGTCGAAGTTGGACGAGCTCATCACGAACATCAACGACTGCGATACCAGCGCTGTGGTCGTTTGTCTTTCCGGCGTGCCAGGGGGCTTGGGAACAAACGGAGAGGCCCGCCCCATATGCATCACATAATCAACATCTTGGGGTCCCAGAAATTGGCACCAGCACCACTCTTGACGGGCGCCTTCTCCTGGGGCAGGATCCTCCTCCATGTCTCTCGTGGTGGCATCATCGAGGCCACCCATCACTACCCGTCGGTCGTTGAAAGTAGGCGTAGGTATTTTTGGATCTTTGGATCCCAAGCTACTCTAGGCGCCTTCCTCCTTCAATGATCGAGTGGTTTCACCTTTTCCTTCCTCTTCAGGGGGCGGGCGGAAGCCCAATCCACTTCCAACGCCTTCCTCCTACATGTTTCTACCCACTCCTTCCGACCGACGGGTACCCACCAAAGCACTGCAGCCCAACCCTAAGGCCCCAGGTTTCAATTCCCAGCGGGGTCGGCATCTCGGAATATCTGGACAAAGACACAGCTGCAACCCGTACGTCCCCCAACCCGACATTTGGGAACTCGGATTGGGTTGGGGCGGTTTGGCATCACCGAGCGCGCCCGTCTGCCCGCAAAGTGCCCACTCGTTGGACCGTAAAGCCCCCGCGGCGGACCCAGGCCACGTGCGAGCAGTTCTGTTTTGCGCGAGCAGTGGGACGCGCTTGTCCCCGGCAGGTAGTCAACCCAGGGGGGGCCTGACGATTCCACTCCCCTTCGCAGGGCTCGTGGTCGCCCCTCCCGCGGTGGAGGCGGTCGCCGAGGCTGCTGCCGGCGCCGCGCACGGCGGCCCGCGCAGGCAGAGGGTGCGCAGGGCCGCCGTGCGCGGGTGCGCTGGCGTGTGAGCTCCGTGGCTCGGCGGCGCTCACAAAGGGCATGGCGCAGGGGGGAGCTCGAAGGAATCTCGGAGGAATCTCGGGGGGTCTCGAAGGAATCTCGGGGGGATCTCGAAGGAATCTCGAAGGACTCTCGGGGGGATCTCGAAGGAATCTCGAAGTGCATGGCGCAGGGGGGGGGGAGCTCGAAGGAAATTCGGGGGGATCTCCGATGTGGTGTTGAATCTCGATACGAATCTCCAATTATGCCCAACACTGTTGTTCCCAGACGCCTCCGGGGGATCCCCGAAGGTCGACACATGCAAGGATCCGTCCAGGGAAAGCCCCCTCAGACCTCCGAGGGCCTGCTCCATGAGATTGCCCAGGGTGCAGGGTTCGGCGGCGCGCTCAGGGGCTGGTCTTTTTAAGGATGCGAAGACGAGCAGCCACGGCATGCACATCAGGTGTCCGAGCGTCGCGCGGATTTCTCGCATCCGCGCCGGGTCCCCCCCCCTGGCGGGGCCTCCGGCGCCGCCCCCGGCATGGTCCGCACTCCAGGGAGGGCCGGCCGTCCAGCGCCGTTGGGAGACCTCGGCGCGGACCTCCGAGGAAGGTTGTGCTCATGCCGTGTGTTTGCTTGTCCGAGGTGGCAGGGGCCCTCTTGCAGGGGCCCGCAGAAGAAGGCAGGGGCCTCAGAAGATCAGGAGGGGAAGAAACACACAGACACAATTAATCGTCGATCCCCAGGAAAATATGGGAAAATATGGGAAGTGGTGGGGAAGACAAAAACTAAAAAAATATATAGGAAAATATGGGGAAATGTTTTATTTGTGTGTATTTATTTGTGTGTTTGTGGGCCTCTTCAGAAGACCCCCACCTGGGCTTCCCGGAAGGCTTCTGCGAGTCGGGAATTGGAAGCGCACCACCACCACCCACCACCACGCGGGGTGGGGAATCGGGAGGAGCCGCTGTGCGGGATGCGGGCGTGCGGGATGCGGGTGTGCACGATGCTCCGCGAGAGCGCTTGCAACGATGTGCACCACCACCACCCCTGACCTCCCTCTGCCTCCATCCTCCGGGTGGTGGTGGTGGTGCGCTTCCTTCTCCCCAGAGAAGGCGGGAGAGTTTCAGAGCTGGCCTGAAGTCGGGCCTGTTCCCCTGCAGGGGGAATGTTCACAAAATAATGAACCATAGTCTGGGGACGACTTTTTTTTGCCAACGTTTGATTATTTTTGGTGCATTGTTCTGTTTTTTTTTTTTTTTTTTTTTTTTTTTTTTTTTTTTTTTTTTTTTTTTTTTTTTTTTTTTTTTTTTTTTTTTTTTTTTTTTTTTTCAATTTTTCGTCCAAGATCGGCCTGTAGGGGGACAGGCCCGACTCAAAGCTGGCCCCTGCCTCCTCAGAAGCAGCCGTGCCCTCTCCCTCGCTCCTCCGCCCCCCTGGCGCGCGCCGTCGAGCTTCGGGCGGCGGACCGTTCCCCTCGCGCGCCTTGTCGGTCTGGCTCGCCCTTCGTCGCCGCGCTCATTGGCCCACTCGGCGAGGCGATCCTCTCGGGCTGGGAGGATCGGGCTGGGAGAACATTTTTGAGCATGGTTTGAATGTTTTCGAGCATTTGTTTGACGTTTGTGATTCTTCAAAAATCCACCTGTAGGAGGAAATGCCCGACCTCAGAGTAGGGTGTCTCGGGAGCAACGATGCCAGGGGTGATAGGCATAGGGGGGGGGCGCATGGACCCCCAATCGCCCATGGATCGTCGATAGGGGCCCAAGAGACCCAACCTGCCCAGGAACGTGCGGATTCGCTCTCGGGGGCCTCTCGCCGATCCATCGGCGATATGTCGTCGATTCCAGGTCGATGTGTCCCCCCTGTGCCGGTCTCCCCCCGTGGTTGCCCTTACGTGTCGACTGCAGAACTGATCTACCCCAAACTTGATTTTCTCGTCGGGCCCTGCGTGGAATGTTCGCCGATCTACGAACATGCCACGCATGTCTCGTGGACTCGACGAGCACATGAATGTTGGGGTAGACCAATACTGTATAGTCGATCCTCTGCTCGATGCAGTGGGGCGGCGCTCGGGCTCGGGCGTGCCGCCGCCCGACAGTCGGCCCCCCCACCCATGGGCCATCGGTGGTGGTGGTGGTCCGCAAGCATTCAGAGCGTGAATTACCTACCCCGCTTTCGCTTCCAGGCAAAACCAAGTCATACCACGCGCCTCCTCGTCAAGCGGCCTGACCACTACAGGCCGTAGTTTGGCATCGCTTGGTATCTCTTGGAAGCGAGGGTGGTCAAAAGCGAGGTAGGTTTGTTTGCCCCCTAAGCATAGCAGCTGACATAAAAACCCTGAGGTCCGGGCGTCGCATTTTTTCTTCGAGCCGTGAGATTTCGTCTGGTTTCGGGCCCCATGCCCCCCGCAGATCGGCCTGGCTCGGAACATGCCGCAGACAGATGGGGGGGTCCGGGGCTCCGGTTGTGACTGCTTCGCGATGCATCCGATTTTTTGGCAGCGTCAGGTCTTAGGGAAGCTGTTTGCACGAACTACGCGGGGGGGCTTCCCAGAAGTTCTCCCCGCTTGCCAAGGCGCCTCCGTCTCTCCAGCCTCCGTGGGAGGAGGAGGAGGAGGAGGAGGAGGAGGAGGAGGAGGAGGAGGAGGAGGAGGAGGAGGGAGGAGGAGGGGAGGAGGAGGGGAGGCGCAGGGAGGAGGAGGGGGGGAGGGAGGAGGATGGACATCCTCACGCGCCCGACGCCAGTGGACACCCGTCCCAAAGGTGGACGGGTGCTGGGGTCGCGGCAGCAGCAGCAGGAGGAGGAGGAGTGGGAGGAGGCGCCCCGTGCCCTTCCAGGGAGGCCCCTTGCCCTCGAAGAAAAGCGCCCAGCAGCCTTCCTGCGCCGGGGTTCCCCCCTGCGCGCCGCCGCCACGGGGGCCGAGGCCACGCTTGACTCCTCCTCCTGCACGGCAGGGTCCGTGTCGCGTCAGACGCGGCGGCGACCCCGGCGCGGGCGTCCGAGGTGGAGCGCAGCCAGCGGCCCAGAATCTGCCGACACGGCGCGGTTCGCGCGCCATCGGAAGGCCAGGGCGACTCGGAGCGCTCTCTGCGGGCAGGGGGCGATCTGCGCGCCCCGGGGGGGGGGGGGGGGGGGGCGGCACGTCTGGCTCCTCCTGCGCGGCAGGCTCGTGTCGTGTCGACGCGGCGACCCCGGCATGAAGTCGGGCGTGTCTCTTCACGGGAGGAGCGTTCAGGAACAGTAAGCCACCAGTGTGGTGGCGGCTTTTCGTGGTCTTCGGGCTACGTTTGATTATTTGTGATCCTATCTGTCCTCCAGAGTCCGCCCGCAGGAGGACATGCCCGACCTGAGCCCAGCACGGGCATTCAAGGTTGAGTGCGGCCAGTGGCTCAGAATTTGCCGACATGGAACGATTTGCGCTATCGGAGAACCGCGATCGTTCAAGGTTGAACGATCCGAGCGGTGCAAGAGACCAGCGCGCAAGTCGTCACGACACGAACCTGCCGTACGTTTGATTATTCTTGTGCCCCCTGGCCCCTCTGGGATGGCCAACCGGCCACGGCTCCAGCGGCTGCGACGTCTATGTGTGCCCCTCCCCGCTGCACGTGTACTATTGCAGCGACAAGTTCAAGAACGGCGCGATGGTCACCCCGCAGAACTGCAATTTCAAGGCTCACTCGTTTTCCTCGTTCCGATGATTCCGAGGCGGGGGTGTATCCATCACCACCGCCTCCAGGATCGATCTTAGGGGACGTCGGCAGGCGGTGAATATGGACATACTTGGGCCTCAGGGGGCCCAAAGATTTCATATATCGATCTCCAGCGCCCCCTGGGGTCCCAGGACATCGGTTGCACAGGTGGTGGATATGGATAATTGACCACCGCGCAATGATGTAGTGAGTTCCGCACCCGAACTCCTGGGGTGCAAGCACAAGTAAAGGACCACCCGATCCCATGGGTGGACATTCGGGCCATAAGTAGCATGTTCGGATCCAGTGCCGCAAGCAGCGAGGTACCTGCCGCGTGTTTGGATGTCCTCCTTGTGCTCCTCTCTCCCTTCTCAGAGGCCTCGAGCAGGCTCAGATTGATGCCTCAAGTTTTTACTAACACGAGCGTGTCGCTGGAGATTGTTGGCTTCCCAGAGCTAGCAGTCAGTCCCCTCTCCCTCCCTCCCTCCTGCTCCTACCCTAACTCACACGGGAGGTGGCCTGGGGCACGGGGTGCGTCAGGCGCCCCTTGTGTGGACCCACAGGCCAGCCCAGGATGTTCTAATCTTGCCCGCGAGCACCTCTCTCACCTCGCCTGCTCCCGAGAGACACCAGATGCGTTCTTCACAGGTATCGTACTCACCAACTTGAATTTTAGATCTCGGTTGGCTTGCGACGGCGCTGTGCAGGTGTTCGTGTCTCCCGTGGTCCTATGGGTTGCGTGCCAGTGTCCGCCGCCTGCCCGTGACCGAAGTTGGTTTCGGATGACCCGCGCAGGCTCTGCGAGCTCCCTGACACGCTCTGTATCCCCTGCGCCATCCCCGCTTCCCCCTCTTCTCATCATGTTCCCGCTGTCTCCTCTCAGGAGGGGGAACGCATACAGACACAATGAGTCGTCGATTCCCCAGAAAACATCGGAGACTGTGGGAAGTGGGGGGGAAGACGAACACAGAGAAAATACGGGAAACTATGGGGAATCCTGTTATTTGTGTGTGTGTGTGTGTTTACTTGTATGTCCCAGGGCCCCTTCACCTTGTCCCGCGCAAAGACGATCATGGTTGTTTTCTCTCCCCCTCTCCTCCTTCACTCTGGTCCTGGCGACCTCCGCCCTCGCCGCGTCGCAGATGTCGGGGAGCTGCACGGGCGGCGCCTCGGAGTGACCCGGAGCGGCTGTTCCGGAGTTCGGAGTGGACTGCGGACAGGGGCCTGGTGCCTGGCGCGCGATCTGCTAGGACAGTCACATTACGGTAGGTTCGTGTCGTGTCGACCGGCGGCGACCCCAGCGTGGGCGTTCAAGGTTGAACGCCGCCGGCGACCCAGAATCGGTCGATGTTGAAGGATCGCACGTCTCGGAAAGGGCCGATCGTTCAAGGTTGAACGATCCCCGAGGTGACAGAAACCATCGCTGGGGTCGACACCACGCGAACCTGCCGTATGCATACAACTTGCCAGCCTCGAACTTATCCCTATCCCTAAGATTGGCACGCCCAAAGGCGATGGCAATCTCAGGGATCCGCCCTCAAAAATCAAGGGAACCCCTAAGATTGGCATCGTGATGAGGAGATGCCCAGCATAGGGATAGGGATATGTTCCAGGCTGGTAAACAACGGGGAAGAGCAGGAGGAGGAGGAGGAGGAGAACATCTAGGAAGCGCAACGGTCCGGTCGCCGCTAGTGTCGGCGTCAGTGTCGCCGTTCCTGTCGCCGTTCGTGTCGACGCTATGGTCGATTAGTGCAGCTGTTAGTGCGGCCTTTCGTGTTGCCGTTCGCGCTGTGGCTTCGCCAATCGGGTCGCCACTCATTCAGGGCGAGGAGGCTGCAGGTTCGAGCAGAGCGCGCGGGCATCGACACAAACCCCTAATCACGAAGTCCATCGTGCAGGGCAAAGAACGCCGTGCTTTTTGGATTCGTGACTGAGGTCGTGGCTAGGCCGCTTCTGAAATAGCATAGCCGTTCGCGTCGCCGTTCGTGTTGTCACCGCCGTGCTTAAGTGCCGCCGTTACTGTCGCCGTTCGTGTCGGCGTTTAGTGTCGTCATTTGTGTCGCCATTGGTTTCGCTGCAAGTGTTGCCATTCGTGTCGCCATTGATGGCGCCCTTCGTGTCGCTAGTGGACCTCGGGCAGTCGTCTCGGGACCTGCTTGTGGCAAGGGGCCCGGGTGAGCCCGCAGAGACTTCCCAGAACAGTCACAGAGCTAAGGGCTTTCTTGAGGCTTTCTTGCGGCCCCCACGAGGGCCCTTGGCAGCTCTGTCAGGAGCTCAGGAGGACCCGAAGAGGACCCCTCAGAGGCTTCCAAGACAGTGTCTGAAGTATGTACCACATGGTCTGCCCGGTACATACTCCTGGGGGCCACATTGGGGCCCTCTCGGGATCCTTCGGCGCGTCCCCTTGTATGGAGCGCGTCGGTTGGGGGCGGGGTGCTGCCTGGAATGCTCCGTTGCGCCTTCCAGGGATGACACCTCCCTCTTGCTCGGTTCCCCCTCGTCGCTTTAAGCGCAAGGCGGGGTGAGCCATGGTATGTGGGGTGGCGGGGCACTGTCCCTGAAACAAGCCGCGCTCACGCGCCATGGTCGTGTGTTCTTTGCAAGTTGCTCCAGGCGAGTGTCGTGTCGTCGTGTGTCTCTTCTGCTCGTCGGATTGGGTCGCACGTCTGTATCGGTTTGAGGCATTCAGTGCCTCGCTTCTCCCCCCGCGAGGGACGAAGTGGCGTCTCGGGCCTCGCCCCCCGAAGGATTCGCTGTGGCAGTGGTGGTGGGGCCTCGGCGGAAGTGGCAGCACCTGCTAGTCGTGTCGGCACTCGCTCGCGGAGGGCGCTGCCGCGTTGCCCGCCATGGCTGCGCAGGGCTCTGCCGAGCGGTTGGGGCTAACGCTGCACACACCGCTGTCGCGGCCAGGGGTATTTGCCGACGAGAAGAACAACAGCATAAGCATACATACACTTTCTGTGCTCCGCGCGGATTTCTTGGATCCGCGCTGGGCCCTCCCAGCGGCGCCTCCGGCGCCGTCCCTGGCGCGCCCCGCGCGCCAGGGGGGAGCGCCACAAGTTTATGTTTATGAAGTTGTTTCTTCTTCTAATTTGGTTGCTTGCGGGGAACCCCACCACCGTGAAGGCGCAACCGTGCAGTGGGAGGGATGTCGAGTTAAATGCCCGTTCCAGTTCAGTGCCCTGCAAGATATCGCACAGGGTCTGTACTACTGGCCATACTATCCACCTCCCTCGCCCCTTCCTCTCTGGATTGCGACGGATGGCCCGAAGAAGACGAAGGCGATTAGGACGTTGAGTTCAAGTTCCGTTCCAGTGCAGTGCCCTGTCTGAACTTGCGCGGATCTCGAATACCTTGCCTTTGTCCGCAGATATTCCTCCGCGAGTTCCTGCTCATCTTCCTCTACCTCCTCATCCTTTCCTTCCGCGAGAAAAAACGAAACGAGGCAGATGAGGAGAATGAGGACGTCGACGAATGGCGGCAGGAGGGGGTTGAATGTATGACCTGTTGCAGTTAGAAGTGGAGGAGGAGGAGGAGGAGGAGGAGGAGGAGGAGGAGGTGAAGGAGGAGGAGGAGGAGGAGGGGGAGGAGGGTTGAGTTGAAGTTCCGTTCCACTCCAGTGGCCTGTCTGAACTCGCGCGGGCCCCTCTGGGGCCTTCTACTGTTTTTTCGCAGGCCTGTTGGGCGCCGGCTGGGGGCTCGTCGGGTGTTTTTCGGGGAAGTCTTGGGCGCGATGATTTCGCCTTTGCGGGCATCTTGGGTCTGTCGTGGGGGCCTCCTGGGGGGCCTCTTGGGAGTTCGTTGGGGGCCCCCAAGGTTAGTTCGGGTTTCTTTGGGTCCCTCTTCGGGCCTTCTTGAGGGCTTACTGGGCCGTCCTAGGCGGCCTCTTCGGGCCTTCTAAGTCGTCTTGGTGTGATCTTTGGGGCCTCTTGGGCCGTAAATGGGGCTCCAAGAAGACCGAACTTGCAGATATGGTGAACACCCCCTCGTACCCGAGAAGCACCAATTCGTTTTGCTCCGTGCGGGCCTCTTGGGCCGCCTACAGGCCATCTTGGGCCGTCCTGGGGCCCTTTGAAGGCCGAGTCGGGGCTCCGGGCTGATGGGGTCGTGCTTGGAGTGCCCTGGGGCGTCTTGCGCAGCCGTACCGGAGCGGCATGTGGCTGCCGTGGAGCCGCCCTGAAGCCGAAACGGACCCAGGAAAAGAAAGCCAGGGGGGGCGGTCTCCCCCGTGGCATAACTGACTATTCCGTTCCGCCCTGTCCTGCTGCTTTCCCGTCCTCTTCCCGGATTCGCGTGTGTCCCATCCTCATGGAGATGATCCTTCTCGTCCTTGTTCTTCGCCCTCGCTCCTTCGGCATAGGAGCATCCTGACACGGCCCAGCGGTGCCGCTGGCACGGGATCGAATGGGGAGACGCCTCTGTGCTCCCTGTCTGGGGCAGGCTCGGGAGCCGAGCGCGGGCCCGTTCGGCGCTCGGGTCGGCCGAGTCCCTTCGGGCAGTGCTCAGGAGGGGAGGAAAAACACAGACACAGTATGACAAATATGGGGAATCCTGGGATTTGTGTGCATTTGTTTGTGTGCCCCAGGGCCCCTTGATATGCCCCGGATGGCCCGAGTGCTGACCTGATTCGTCGTGGCTTCGAGGCGGCAATTCCACGGCCCACGGTCGGGCCAGTGCTCGGGCGGTCCCCGTGGCACCGAGCTCTGGGAGGCCCCCAGAGCTCTCACATTCGGGGGCGGCCCAGAGGGGGGAGCTCCCAGAAGGCTCGGAAGTCCGCGCGAAGGCCTCGGATCGGCGGCCCAGAGGGGGGCCCCAGAGGGGGGAGCGCCGATCCGAGGAGTCCGCGCAGACCGCCGATCATGACGGCGGACGGGAGCTTTCGGAGGCAGCGTGTGGCGCGCCGCCGGGTCTGGCCGCGCCACCACGCTCCCGATCTTATCCATAAGGACCTTGTTATTCTCGAGTTCGTCTTCTAGTTCTGCCGTTTTTCCCCACGATCCGGCAGACCACTGATGAAGCAGCACATACGCACTTGGACGCAAATAATACGCTTCTTACCTACTACACTGAGAAGTGTTCCAGCAGATGCGGCCGCGCCACCGCGCTCCCGCGCGGCGTTGCGGCCCCGTCCCCGCCCCCCGGGCGCCGACGCCTCGGGCCGTTCCCGGCGGCCCGCCCCGCGGGGCGGGGCGGCGCGCTCTCCGCGCGCGGAGCGCCGCGGGTCCCCGGGGGCCGCGGCTCCGCGTCGCGGAGCGTCGCGGAGGTCGCGGAGCGTCGCGGGTCCCTGGAGCGTCGCGGGTCTCCGTCGCGGAGCGTCGCGCGTCCGCTCGCGGAGCGTCGCGTCGCTGCCCAGCGGTTCCCGACCACGCCTCCCGTCCTCGGGGCCGGCCACGAGGGGGAGATGATGGCTATAGGGCCGGATCGCATGGCCGGGTCGGCGAGACATCTCCGGATGCGAATGTCATGATTCATGGCCTTCCTTCTTGTCTCGATGCGTCGCACGTGCCTCCCCCCTGGACCGCGCACGTGCCTCGGGTCCCGGCTTGCGCACCCCCTGGGACGCCTCCCTATTGGACGCCCCCACACGTGAAATAGTAAATCACGGACGCTTCGGCACGCCTTGGATTGAAGGAGTATCAGCGAATAGCGCCTAACAGCGCCGAAACAGAGCTCAGCAGCGCCCAGTAGCGGCCGATAGAGACCGCTAGCGCCCGATAGCGCCATGTGAGGGAGATGCATCATGCCCGCTTTACGCGCGATCGGGCGCTGTATGGGGCGCCGTGGGGACGACCAAAAGCGCTCGTAGGGTGCTTTGTAACTCCAGCGCCTCCCCAATGGGGTCCGAGTATAACGGGTCGGAGGATCGCGCCGTATCGCCGATGCATCGGGGATGCAACCCACTGTCTCCACGCCGACGTCGCCGATGCATCGCCGCCAGCGTCGCCGATGCATCGGCGATGCATCGGCGGGACATCGGCGATGCGGCGCGATTCTCCGATCCCATCTACTCGGACCCCATTTGGGAGGCCAGCGCCTGTCGTCCTCGCGGGTCTTGGGTTGCGAGGCCATCGCGACCCGAGCGTTCCCGCTGTGGCGGCTGGTTGCCACCGCGAGCGCGGAGGAGTGCTCGTGCTGTGCGTCCCGACGGCCAGCTTTGCCTCCTCCGGCTCCCTCGGGCTCGGATCGGCCCACACCTCGAGAATTTGCCCCACCCCACGATAATGTGCTCCGTGGTCGTTGTGTAGTCCGTCACTCTCGATGCGCATCGTGACGCTTCTCCTCGTGGTTTTCCTTCCCCTCTTCAGCGTCGTCCTGTTCCTCCTCAACCTTCTGCTCCCTCTCCTGCCCTCTCCTTCTGTAATCTAAAGGGCTGCGGCGCCTTCACGGGCGAGATGGCCGTGGAGCAGATGAAGGACATGGGCCTCAAGTGCGTGCTGATGGGCCACTCGGAGCGCCGCGGTGAGTTTGGCATCTTCCCGATGGACGACAACTCCACCCTGGCGACGAAGCTCAAGTATGCGCTCGACGCAGGCCTGCAGGTGGTGTTCTGCATTGGCGAGCCGCTGTCCATCCGGGAGAAGGGCCTGGACGCCGTCGTCGCCGAGATGGACGTGCAGCTCACGCAGATCTACGGCCTTCTCGACGCCGCGAAGGTGGTGATCGCCTACGAGCCCGTCTGGGCCATCGGCACCGGCGTCACCGCCAGCCCCCAGGATGCGCAGGACACGCACGCCGGCATCCGCAAGCTGATCGCCGAGAAGGCGTCCCCAGAGGTCGCCGAGGGCATCCGCATCCAGTATGGCGGCTCCGCGAACGCCAAGAACGCCCCGGAGCTCTCGGCGATGCCGGACATCGACGGCTTCCTGGTCGGCGGCGCCTCGCTCAAGCCCGAGTTCAAGGAGATCGTGGCCGCGATCAGCAAGGCCAAGGCCGCCTGAGTGGCGCGCGTCCGAGGGGTGCCCGCTCTTTTGGGGGCGGACGCCGACGTCCGGCCACGCGCAGAAGGGGCGCAGGGGGAGGGGGGAAGGCGTCGTGGAAGCACCCCTGCTTCTGAGACGGCGCGGGCCTTGGCTGTAGATGCAAGGCCAGCGCCTGCTCAGAAGCAGCCTCCTTCTGCGAAGCCTCCCCCCCACCCCCTATCCTTACAAATCGGGCCTGCTCCTCCACAGGAGGAAGATTCAAAGACAGTAAAAAATAGTCTGGGGACGATCTTTGCAGTTTTGTTGTTGTTGGTGGTGTTGGTGTTGGTGTTGGTGTTGGTGTTGTTGGTGTTGTTGTTGTTGTTGTTGTTGTTGGTGGTGGTGGTGGTGGTGGTGGTGGTGGTGGTGGTGGTGGTGTTGTTGTTGTTGTTGTTGTTGCTGTTGTTGTTGTTGTTGCTGTTGCTGCTGTTGTTGTTGTTGTTGTTGTTGTTGTTGTTGTTGTTGTTGTTGTTGTTGTTGTTGTTGTTGAACATTATTCCTTCTAAAGAATTATTATTGTTGGGACCCCTGGTGCGCGACCTCTGCGCCGCGCCTAGGCCGCAGCTACATTTTCATCATTTTTTCGCGAAAGCTTCAGAAAAGTGGATGAGCTCCGGATCCGGTTTTTTGTTGACGCTCGTTTTCCCTTGCAAAAAACAATAGAAAATGAAAATTCTTGTTTTTACTTGATCAAATTGCAAGAATCCCTTGCAAAAAATAAGGTAAAGTGGACATTCGTGCGCGCAAGACGAAATCCTTCCAAAACCTTAGGTTTCGTAACGATTTTAACATAAAAACATCAAAAACCCAATGGTTTTCTCAGAAAAAATTGTCAAAATGTCCTTCCGCGCGCTCTTGCGGATTCCTAGGAAACCCACCAGATTTTAAACATTTCTGTTAAAAGGGCCTTTGCGAGGAACCTTTTCAGGTGCTTCGACCTTCTCAACAACGGTTGCGCGCCTGCGAGGGCCACCATCCCTTGCAAAAAATGAGACGAAGTGCACATGCGCGCGGCCGCCGCGCGCGCATGTCGAAATCCTGCCAAACACAATGGGTTTTCAATAATTTCAAGATGCGATGTTCAGAAAACATATGAAAACGCACTACTTTCTCATCCGAAAAATCTCGAAATCCATTCGCGGTCTCTTGATGAATCTTTAAAACCCAAGATGGCCCCAACAGGCGCGCAAGATGGCCCCAAGAGGCGTCCATGAGGCCCAAAGAGGCGCCCAAGATGGTCCCAAGAGGCTTCAAGAGGACTCCAAGAGGCCCCCAAGAGGTTCCAGAGAGGCTCCAAGGTGGCTCCAAGAGACCCCCAAGATGGCCCCAGGAGGCGTTCTAGAGGCCCCAAGAGTCCGCCGTGAGGAGAACTTACCGTGCATGCGATCGTTTACAACATGGTGGACCGTGCGTATGTCACGAACCTTGTATACATGTGTTTCTCTCCCTCCGTCTGGCTGTGCACGCGCGCGTTGGGCACTGAGAGTTAGGATCATAGCGCCATGAGTCTATGAGCAATGCATGCGTCATCCTTGGGACTGTATAACATCAGTGTAACACATGTACTTCTGTAATCGCATCCCCACGAATTTGCCCCAAAAATGTGACCAACTATCTTGGCACTGCGTACCATCTCACGTGTACCGTGTACCACATCATATGTAACAGATGTGATCAACCTCTGTGGGTGTGTACCCCACGCCAGTGTAGTAGCCAGGGTCGTCCGCACGCCACGAAGTGAAGTGTCCCAACGTCATAGGGCGGGAAGCTGGGTGTGGGTGGTCTCGAAGAGTCGTTTGGATATTTGGTAGAGCTTGAACGGCCCCCCCACGAAGTGGGGGTATTGGCTGGTGTCGCAAGAAAACCCTGGCACTGGGGAGAACACTGAGCGTTCGGGTAAAATGATTGTTGTTGTTGTTGTTGTTGTTGTTTGCGCATTTTATTTGTTTCGCCTGTATTTCTTGCGTATGTTTGGTGACTGTCTTGCGTATTTTGATGTTTTTTCGCCCGAGCTCGGCCTGAGCTGCACCTGCCCGCCCCTGCGCGCCGCCGGGACGCGCGCGCCCGACGCCTGCCGGGGCCGGGGCAGCCCTGGGCCCCGGGATCTCGGCGCGCCCAGACCCCGTCGCGCTGCGAGGCAGACCTCGGCATCGCTCGGACGTTTTTTTTGTGGCTTTGTTTTTGTTGTTGTCTTTTGTGGTATTGTTGTTTTGGGTTGCGCTTCTTTTGTTACGTTTTTTTGTATTTCCTTTGTTTGTTGCGTTTCTTTTGGTGCCCCTTTTTTGTGTCTGTGTTGCTTTCTTTGTTTGTTTCCTTTCGGCGAGGACCATCGAGGAGCGTCCTGGATCAGCTGGCCCCCAAAAAGGCACGCACGGGACCGAACGAAAGGCACGGGGACGGGGCGTCCGAGCGACGGCGCGCAGGCCGTCGGCCGTCTTCGGCCGCTTTCGGCCCCTGGGCCCCCCCAAAAGGCGGCCCCAAGGAAGGGCCCAGGAGGAAATAGGGGAACGAAAAGTGACATAAGCATAAAAACTCGGAGGTCCGCGCGGATTTCTCGGATCGGCGCTGGGGCCCCCCCGGCGGCGCCTCCGGCGCCGCCCCTGGCGCGCTCCGCGCGCCAGGGGGGGGGGGTCCAGCGCCGACCCGAGAAACCCGCGCGGACCTCCGAGTTTTTATGCTCATGCCCCTTTTTCTTGTTCCCCCTGGGAAAGGAGCCGGCCCCAGGGGAAGATGCCGAGGCCTCCCAGAGGCCCGCGCGGCGGCAGCGCGCCGCCGCGCCGCGGGGGCTCGCGGTGCACACGCCCTCCGGGGCTTCGGGCCAGGCCGGGCGGGCCCCCGGACCCGCGAGGGCCCCTATCGCGCCCCGCTCTGCGCGCGCCGCCGGGGTGCGGCGCTTCCCTCGGGCCGCGCGAGAGGGGGGGATATAGGGAGAGGGGGGGGTCGCGACATCCCCAGACCCCCTCGAGTAATGAAAAAATCACGACGGGCGGTTTTTCCTTGATTTTCGGCCTCCGGAGGCCCTCACCGGGCCTCGGGAGCGTCAAAAAACGACTCGGGATGCAAAGCCGGTCATGGGGAAAGGGTCGGGACCTCTGGGGGTCGACGTAATGAAAAAATCATTACGTCGGGGGTCTGGGGGGCTCGCGACATCTGCTGCGTGCGGCTGGTGTCGGCCCGCCGCCAGGAAAACACCCCTCGATGCATGGCGCCTCCTGGCGCTGGGAGGCGCTGGGAAAATCAGCTACGTGAGCTGATGCTGTGCTATCCCCCCCTTTCGTTCCCTCCGATTCTCTCTCGGTGCCGTGGCAGGGCCGGCGTCCTCCCGAGTTCGGGGCTCCGGTGCCCAGATTCTTCCGGGCGCGGGGCGGCGCGGGCGGCTGGGGAGCCGAAGGGCTCTCCCGTGCCCTCCAGGAGCGGCCCGCCCCCCCCCACCCCCAGCGGCGGGCCCCGGCACGACGAGCGTCGCGCCCTTTGGGGTCTGCAGGTTTTGCGCGGGCGACGTCCTCTTCCTCCTCCTCTCCTCCTCCTCCTCCTCCTCCTCCTCCTCCTCCTCCTCCTCCTCCTCCTCCTTCTCTTCCTCCTCTTTCTCTCCTCCCCCCTCTCCTCGGTGTCCTTCTCCTTCCCCTCTTCTGGGCCTCCCTTCTGGCTCCTCCCCCCTGCCTCGCTCCTCCTCCCTCCTCCTTTCTCCCTCCCGCTGGCTGCTCCGTTTGCCCCGCTCCCTCCTGGGATCCTTGGTATCCTCCCAATGCGTGTTGCCTATGCTATCCCGCTCGTCCTCCTTGTCCCCTCATCCTGATCATTCTCGTGTTCTTTCCGCTTCCTCTCCTCCCTCTCATCCTGTTCCCCTTTCTCTCTCTGCCCCATCGCCCCATACGTCTCCTCCTCGTCCTCCTCCTCCTTCTCCTCTTCCTCCTCCTTCCCGTCCCTTCCCTTCCTCGTCCTCGTCTTCCTTTCTGTCCTCCCATCCTTCCAAGCTTGCATATCGGCAGCCTCGTCGCAGCGTTTCGCCGCCTCTCCTGCTCCTCGTCTTCCTTCACTGCCTCTTAAGCAGGGCTTGCTGGAGGAGAAGGAGGAGGAGGAGGAGGAGGAGGGAAAGGAGGAGGAGGAGGAGGAGGAGGAGGAGCAGGAGGAGAGAAATGAGGAGGATGAGGAGAAGGAGGAGGAGAGGAGGAGGTGGAGGAGGAGGAGGACGAGGCGGAGGCGGAGGAGGAGGAGAAGGATGGATGAGCAGGAGGAGGAGTAGATGGGAGAGGAGGAAGAGGAGGAGGAGAGATGTAAGAGCATGGCGGCGCAGGAGGAGAAGAAGGAGGAAAATAGGTTAGGTGCGCTCGTGTCATACCTGACGTCCTACTCCTCCCTCCCATCCTTTACCATGGCGTGGATCTCCTCTCTATTCGCACACTCGGATGTCGTGGCATTGCGTAGCATTACATGGCATAGCATGGTGTTGAAGATCAACGCGTAACATGACATAGTATGGCGTGACAACACCCGGAAGTGGTGGGAGGGGGGCTTCCGCGGCCCTAAAAATTAACGAATCGGCATTGAATGTGGAATCACTTCCGATGTTTTTTTTCGGGAAGCCATTTTCTAGATTTTGGGGCCTGTTTGGAAGAAGCGAAAACCATGCCGTGGCATGGCACTGGAAATAATGACGCCAGCGCTGCAGCGGGAGCACGATTCGGGACGATCGGAAGCGCGGAAATGAGGCTAGCGATGCAGCGGGAACACGATTCGGAACGAGCGGAAGCGCGGAGCACGATTCGGAACGAGCGGAAGCCCGAAAACGATGCCAGCGTTTCAGCGGGAGCAACATGTAAAACAATAACCCAAGCGAAAACCGTTGTCCAGGGAATCTTGCGTGTAAAGAAATAGTGCGCGGAGGGGGGTTGGATATCTCCGGATGTTCTCAGGGGAGAGAAGAGAAAGTATTCAAAGTGCGTCATTCGATGAAGATGATGAGGAAGAGGAAGATGGGG